TTGCTTAGTGTCCTAGTTATCCACGGCCTCTTACACCAGACAAAATAGCTGTTATTAAAATCAGGCATGATTGTGGGGACTGTGTAGCCGGGTCTGGTAGAAGACAGTCTTTAAGTTCAGCAACCTGTGAGGCAGGACTACTTCCATACCCTCAGGTCCCTTGGAGTACACAAGAGGTGTGTGTAGATATATGCAGGTACTATGCCATTTAAATAAGGAACTGACATTTTCCAAGATGTGGGAATCTAAGGAGGTCTTAGAATGGTCCCTCACAATTGAGGGCACTATACATGGAGGATGCCAGAAGGATTCTGTTCTGTTTTCATGGTCAGCTGCCTTGTATCCAGCCCTTACCCCACCTGACTCAGTGCTCTCTGGTATTCCCCACAGAACTGGAACTGGACAAGTCACTAAGATGTATGTGACTCACCTGACCACTGTGTTGTTTTGATTTTCTAGTGCCCAAGGTTGAAGCCATCAAGAAAAGACTGGGTTCTCTGGCCGATGAGTTTAAAGAGCTTGTCTACCCCCCTGGCTATAATCCTGAGGGAAAAGTTACCAAAAGAAAACAAGGTGAGGGGCTGGGTCTAGATGTACAGCATGTGCCTTTAAAAAGTATCCTTGTGGTCTTTATGGTCTTAGCACAGAGATAGCTTATTTTACTACTTTTCTCTTCATTTTTTGGGGGGTGACGAGTGTACTGGGGGTCAAAGTCAGGACCTCACTGTATTACTGAGCTACATCCCAGCCTTTCCAGAAATTTATACACATAGGGTGGTGGGGCTTAGTGTTAAAATACTTGCCTAGAAATGTCTATACAGATGTGCATAGTTCAGCACAAATGGAATGCTTACATTGTTTCCCTGTGTGTGCATGCATTATGGGGCAGGGTATAGGCACATGTATGCCATGGCATATGTGTGGAGCTCAGAGGACAACTTTGTGAAAAATCAGTTGTCTTCTTCCACCTTTATTTACGTAGATTCCAGAGATCACTCAGTTTTACTTGGCAAATATTTGGATCTGATGAGCCATTCCCCAGCCCTCTACCATATTAAAACTTCCTTTTTAGGTTTATTTTATGACTTTATGAGTTTTTCCTGCATGTATATATGTGTACCATCTACATGTCTGGTGCCTGCAGAGGTCAGAACAGGGTATCAGATCTCTTGGGACTGGAGTTACAGGTGGTCATGAGCCACCATGTAGCTAGGCTCTGGGAACAAAACCCTAGTCCTTTGCAAGTGTACACAGTGTTCTTAACCCTTAAGCCATCTCCAGCCCCTCTACCTCATTTTTAAAAACTTAGGCTGATGAGATGGCTCAGCCCATGGCCACTTGCCCTGTGCAAGCCTCCTGGGACCCCAATAAAGGTGGGGTAGAGAACTGATTCCATAAAGGTGTCCTCTTACGTCCACAGATACATCATACACACAATAGGAATGTTTTTCGTTAGGCTGTAGAGTACTTAGAGTGGATCGGGGGCTAGATGTCCCTGCTTGCTTATTTACTGAGACCTCTTATTGAACATAAACAATCTTATGTATTTGTTTGAGCAGATCAATAGGGCAAATGTTAGCAGCAGACATTAAATGGTAGATATTAAAAGTCTGGGGTTTGGAGCAATAGCTTAGTGGGTCAGAGTGCTTGCTAGGCAAGTGTAAGGACTTGAGTTCAGATCCTTAGCCTCCATGTCAAAATCCAAGCTTGGCCACACTAGCCTCTAAACCCAGTGTGGGGGCAGACAGGGATAAGTTCATGAGAGATCCTATATCAAGGGAATAAGGTGGAGAGCCGTAGATGAGGACACCAAACATCCTCTGGCCTCTGCAGAGACATGCACCTGTACACACAGGTGCACACACAACATAAATCTGGTAAGAATTGCATCAAAAGTTGGGTGTGGTGGCACAGGCTCATAGTCCTAGCACTCAGAAACCTGACAAGACCTGGGATATATAGCCTTCAAAAAAAAGTGACATTTATACCCCATCTAGAAGAAATGAGTGTGTTTAGTATGCTCTTTAGTTGTTTTGTTTTGAGACAGAGTCTTTGTAGTTCAGGCCGACCCCTCAAGTCCAGGAAGCCCTGACTTATCCTCCTGGGTGGCATGGATCACCACACTGCCTTCTATGCTCTTAACAATCTTGTACTTCCCACCCATTATCTAAGTTTTTAAAGATTTATTTATGTGTTTTATATGGGTGTTTTATCTGCACACCAGAAGAAAGCATTAGATTCCATGGAACTACAGTTATAGACAGTTGTGAGTTGCTATGTGGTGCTGGGAATTTAACTCAGGCCCTCTGAAGGAGCAGCCAGTGCTCTTAACTGCTGAACCATCTTTCTGGCCCCCGATTATCTAAACTTCTATTAAAAAAAAAAAAATGGCCAAGAGAATGTATGTCCTGTTTGATGTGTAGTTCTCTGGTTGGGAGTGTAGTCTCACTGGGTTCCCCCTCCCCCCATTATCTGTTCCTGGCACTGAGCATTTTTCTTACAGGACAGCCCTTTTTATTACTGATGGACCCCCAAGTTTCCTTTACTGTGAGGCTCATGTTTGTAGAGAAGCACCAGGTACACTGTCACCGTTTTGGAATGTCTTTGGCTAAGTAAAGCCATATTTAAGCCTTGTTGCCTAGTATATCCATGAGGACAAGGAGGGACGAGAGATCAGATTGCTGGCCATCCTGACTGCTCCATTTTGCTTCAGAACCGACTCCTGTCATGACCTAGAAGTTGCTGTCAAAGCTTGTCAGACATTGTCTGTGGTTTACCAATGAATTTGTCACTTGCCCTGCCTGTTTTTATTGTCTGGTGCCTCAGGACTTAAATGGTTATTTCCTTACACCTTGGATTTGCTGACATTTAAACAAGGGCCTTAAGCATGCTAGGCAAGCACTCCGTTGCTATGCTGTATTTCCAGCTCCTGTAAATTTTTGTACAGAAAAAAAAGTGATCAGCTCACACAGAATGATTAGCTGTTTAGGTAAGCAGATGGTACATGGTCAACTGCAGCCCACATCATAGGAGGGTCCTGTGTCATGTAGCTGGGATATCACTGGAAGAATTTCTAGGTTGTTCCTTCCTGCCTTTTCTCTAGATGATGAAGATTCTGCAAGTAAAAAGCCCAAGGTGGAGTTATCAGAAGAAGAGCTGAAGGCTCATGTTGCCAAGGGCACACTGGGCAAGCTCACTGTGCCTACACTGAAGGAGGTTTGCAAGGCCTATGGGCTGAAGAGTGGACCGAAGAAGCAGGAACTGCTGGATGCTCTCACCAGACACTTCCAGAAGAACTGACTGAAGACCACACTCACAGCAACTTCCCATACTACAGCCAGACCACCTGCTTGTGTTCACACCAGGTTAGCGGGTGTTTCTTAGCCACAGAATGCAAGGGACGTAATCATGGAGACTGCAGCCCTCCCACTTCGCTGTGCCTTCCACTACTAGATGAATAAAGAGCTCTAACGTTAGACCATGTACTGTTCAGTATAATTGGGCAAGGAGCTTGCCTTGAATCAGAGGTTACCCCAATTGCTTTTAGCTAAACTTTCTCTTCCAAGGAAGCACATATCAAGGTGGAAACAAACATCTTAGAGGAGGTCGGGGACAGTGTGACATTGACAGGCAAGTGGTCACACGGGTACTTCTGGAGTGACAAGCCTTAGCGAGACTGTATTTCCATGTCCTCCCACTTGTTTTCTTTAAATGCTGGGGCTGGAGACAGCTCAGCAGTTAAGGCACTTGTTGCTCTTGCAGAGGACCTAGTTTTGTTTCCCAGCACCCACATGGTGGTTCACAACCATCTGTAGCTCCACTTCTAAGGGATCGAATACTCCCTTTTGACCTCTATGGGTACTGAGCATGCACATGAACATGCATATATTCAGGAAAACACAGAAATAAAATTAGGTCACCAAATTCCTTCTGGATTCTGATTAACTTAAAAAGGCAGAACTACCTGAAACCCCAATCCACAAATGTCAACTTACTGGGATGATGACTGGCCTCATAGGTCAATAGGCCCTGAGCAGGAGATGGGTCTCGGGCGCCCTTATCTTCAAGTGCGCTTCCTGCTGGTGTGGCAATACTGGCCCAAGCAGGCCATTAGAAAAATGAACATAATTTGTCCTCATTCATCTGGTGACTGTGGTATAGTTAACTGCACACTGGAAGGATTGTGTGGCACAGGTGTGAAAGCACACTAGGTAGGAGAGGTGGCAGCTCAGTTGCCACCACTAATTCTGCCTGTGCCTGACTGACTGCCAGTAGTGGTTTTCAACTGTGGGTGATTTTGTTCCCAGGGCACAGTGATTAGTGTAGGATCATTTCTGGTTAGGAGTGGAGGTGGAATGTTACTGCCATCTAGTGTGCAGAGGCCTGCCAGGCGGCCCTACAAATGGGTCCCTGCCAGCCAACCGACTTGTGTTCGGAAATCCTGTTCTAGAATGTAACACTTCAGTGACTGCATCTGTACAAGAGAATTTGGAACTACCAAGCCAGAAACTTGTGTGATGGGTGATAGCTTTACATAGCCCCTCCTGTTTTTCTATATAATTTTACTCTTATGTGCTTTGGTGTTTTGCCTGCATGTATGTTTGTGAGGGTGTTGGACCCTGGAGTTATAGAGAGCTGTGGGCTGCCATGTGGTTGCTGGGAATTAAGCCCGGGTCCCCTGAAGAGCAGTCAGTGCTCTTAACCAGTGAGCCACCTCTCTAGTCACATAGCCCTCCACTTTTTTTTTCTCTTGAGATAATCCCCAGGCTCGAGCCCCAACACCAACACACATTGAAACAAAACAGTAAGTGGGAGTGGTGGTGCATACCCGTAATTCCAGCATGGGAAGCGGAGGCAGGGATCTCTTGAGAATTCAGGCCAGCCTGGTCTACACACCCAGACCATGTCTCAAGGCTCCCCCACCCCATGTTACAACTGCCCTAGAACGCTAAGCATTTCATTTCAAATATTAGCTGATAAAACTCAAAGTCAGGCACGGCTGCCGTTTCATTTAACATGAAGTAGGAACATATTTCTTTATTAGGATGCTCAAGAATGAACATTATTATCACTCTCTTCATGTGATAGAGAATACATCTGAACCATGTTGTGGGAGGAAAAGGATAAAGCCTCCCTCCCAAAGTGGGTGTCAAATGGCTCCACAAAAAAATCCCCATTCAACCAAGGACAGGATGTTCCTGATAGCATTGTCTCTGCTGTAAATTCCAGCCCCAGAATCCTTTATTCCAGCACGAACTAACTATTTTGTCCTCGTCACTCTTCAGATCCAGGCAGTCAACCTCACCCAGGCTGCCTGAGTCTGCAGACCATCCCTTTGACTTGTTACTGCCTTGATACCCTCAGTAGGGAACGGGTGAGAATATAAGGTTACACATATCAAAAACACACAAACATTAATAAATGGCACTTGGACATAGGCTTAACATTATCAAACTTCCTCTACAAATGATGGTGTGGTGGGCGAGAGGGACTGCTTCCCAAAGAAAGCTCTTCAGTCCTGTTAACATTTATGGAGATCTTGTATGCAAAGGCATGAGGGGTCAGTGTTACTTCATCTTATCCTGCACAGAGAAATGAGTTTGCAGGTGAAAATACACTATCCCTGGCTTAGGTTTTTCCTGGTTATTCCTGCTGTTAAATGCTGACATTCTGCCTCTCACATGTCTTAGGTATCATTTCACTTTTTTAAAAGAAGATTAAAAAATGGTAGAAGAGAGGATGAGGAGATGGGGACAAAACAACCCTGTAAGACAAATTAAAAATACAAAAACCGAGCTGGGCGGTGGTGGCGCACGCCTTTAATCCCAGCACTCGGGAGGCAGAGGCAGGTGGATCTTTGTGAGTTCGAGGCCAGCCTGGTCTCCAAAGTGAGTTCCAGGAAAGGCGCAAAGCTACACAGAGAAACCCTGTCTCGAAAAACGAAAAAAATTTACAAAAACCGGATGTAGTACAATATTTATAATAGAAACTGGCTGAAAATACCACATGCTAACAGACAATATGATACACAAGTGGGGTGGGAGTAGACAGGAAAGGGCAGAGGCCACAGGCCTACACCAGGAGCCTTTCAATAGACTGCTGGATGGACTGGATCTGCTGCTTTAGCTGGGAGCCTTCTTTGATGGTAACAGAACAGGCGATGACAGGTCTGGAGACCCCACAGGCCCGTCCTAGGGCCTGCTTGGAACGCACAAATACATAGGGGACATTCTTGTCTTCACACAGCAGTGGGAGGTGCAGGATGATCTCCAAGGGCTCAGCGTCTGCTGCCATCACAATGAACTCAGAGATGCCCCTGTTGAGGGTTTTGGTGGCTGTTGAGACAGAACATGAAGCCAACAGATGACATGGGGCTTGGGCAGAGCAGCCACAGCAAAGTAAGGAAAAAGTAACCCATACAAGGACACAATGCTCAGGACAAGCCAGGCGAGGTGGTGCAGACTTTTAGTCTCAGCAGCTGGGAGGCAGATGTCTGAGTTCGAGGCAAGCCTGGTCTACACAGTGGGTTCCAGGACAGCCAAAGCTGCATGAGACCCTGTCTCAAAGGGGGCCTGGGGGCGTGGAGAGAACAAAACAAAAACCAATTTTATGCCTGGAGCAGCCCTGTAATGTAATAATACTTAATCCTTCCTCAATGTCTTTCTCACCCACTCAGCATAAGGATATACCAGCACAAAGTAATGCTTTTATAGTTTTAACCTGTCCCCGAGGCCTCAGTTCTCTGTTCAAACCTCACTTTCTGAGAAGATTCAATCCAAAAAGATCCTCAAACAGCTACACACCCCATCCTCCTTCACAGCAGGCCTGCCTTCCATAATCCACACCTTCCTTCATATGTGACCGCCAAGAATGGAGGACACAACAGAACAGGCCCATGAGCATTCTGCTTTGCCTTCTGCCCACAACATAGGTAAAAGATTCCCGTTTTTTCAGGGTTCCCCTAAAATCTCAAACGTGGTATTTTAATTAATATCTTAAAAAACAAAGCCGCTCGGCTGGGCAGTGGTGGCACACTCCTTTAATCACAGTATTCAGGAGACAGAGGCAGGAGGATCTCTGTGAGTTCGAGACCAGCCTGGTCTACAGAGTGAGATCCAGGACAGCTAGGGCTGTTACACAGAGAAACTCTGTCTCAAAAAACAAACAAAAACCAAACCAAAGCAAAAATAAAAACTGGAGAGATGGATCAGCGGTTAAGAGCACTGACTGCTCTTCCAGAGGACCTGGGTTCAATTCCCAGCACCCACATGGCAGCTCACACCTGTCTGTAATTTCAGTTCCAGAGGATCTGATACAGACATACATGCAGGTAAAAACACCAATGCACATAAATGGAAATAAAAATAAACTAAGAAAAAAAAATCTCTACTACAGAAAGCTATTTGGTTTTCTTTTTTCTAGGCAGAAATGTCATGGCACATATAATTAGTTCACTGAAAAATTGTTCATTCAACAAACTAAGCATGGCAGCGCACACCTATAATGCCAGCACTTGAGAGGGACAGGAGGATCAGCTCAAGGTTGGCTACATAGTAAATTTTGAGGCTAGCCTGGGTTCACTAGGCTCTCCCAAACAAACAAACCAACAAAACACAAAAACTCCTCAGCCCGTCTGCCTCTACCCTGCAACTCCCCCTCCCCCTCCACACACAAAAGAAAAATGTTTCTGAGAACCACTGAAATTCAGGCATCCCACAGTTGCCAAATACCGAAAAGCATTACAATCCTTTTCTTTTTGATAGTTCTAAAGAGTGAGTACAACTTCATACAGTTTTAATAACTGCTTTCCAAATGGCTCCACAAAAATAAATAAAATACATTTTTGTTTGTTTGTTTTTCGAGACAGGGTTTCTCTGTGTAGCTTTGCGCCTTTCCTGGGACTCACTTTGTAGACCAGGCTGGCCTCAAGCTCAGAGATCCGCCTGCCTCTGCCTCCCGAGTGCTGGGATTAAAGGCGTGCGCCACCGCCGCCAGGCTAAAATACATTTATATATTCAGAGAGAAAAGGCAAATATAGCAAAATGTTAACCACTGATGGCTCTACATCCTAACCACCTTTTGCATCTAATGCCAAATGGATCTTTCATTGGTCGGTAAAGAACTTCTAGAATGCACATTAGCCCAACTATTTAAGAAGTTGCGGTAGGAGGACTGCTTGGGTTGGGGAGTTCAAGGCCACCCTGGGAACACACCAAGACCTGCCTCCACAAAGTAAAATAGAAAGTGAAGGATGGTGAGGAAGAGTGAAAATAAAATATCCAGCCCTTCTTCCCAAACTAGAAATCCAGGAGATCCCTGTTGAAAACAGGGGCCTTCAGCACCCCAGCATCACCCAGTGCTTGTCTCACCTTCATTGGCTCCTTTCCGAAGCTGCTTGTAGTTACATGACTGCTGAACGAGGTCCAGCAACTTCTTGGTGAGGTGGGCATCTGCGAGGGGATAGGCCTTCGGATTTACATCAGCCTCTGTCTGTGAGACCAGAAGGTATTTCAGATAAATTACAAACTATCAACGACTGAGACCAGCTTGGTTCCCTCCTTACACATACACAGGCATACCCCCCACCCCCCACTTTAGGGATAGATGACACCCAACTTCAAAAACAGCCTGTAGCAATGCAACAAGAAACCAACCAAGTACAGACAGAATATGTATATTAACACAGGTCTGACCACTCTAATGCTGTCTTCTGGACCCTAAGTGCAAGAGCAATCATACACACACACTCTCACACACATATACCCATAATTACAAAATTTTAGCTCAGTGGTAAGAGCGCTTGCCTAGCAAGCGCAAGGCCCTGGGTTCGGTCCTCAGCTCTGGGGGGAAAAAAAATCCAAAAGACCTTGCGCATGCTAGCGAAGCACTGGATCTGTATTTTCAGCCCACACCTTTTTGAGACAAGGCTTGCTATACAGCCCAGGCTAGCCAATTTGAATCCCTAGCTTGATCAATTTGATCTCCTTGTATACCTGACAGTCAAACATGCATTTTTTTTTTTTTTTTTTTAAAGAGACAGGGTTTCTCTGGGTAGCTTTGGAGCCTGTCCTGGAACTCTCTCTGTAGACCTGGCTGGCCTCGTACTCACAGAGATCCACCTGCCTCTGCCTCTTGAATGCTGGGATTAAAGGCGTGGACCACCACCACCCGGCTACACGCATGATTTTGATTTAGCAAATTACAGCCATAAATAACTTAATAATGCCTCTGTCAACAAGACCCTGCTCACATAAAATTCCAACGGAGCTGAAAAAGGCCAGTGACACTAGCCACTTTGAAATTCTAGCAAAAAAGTTCTGCTAGTTGTATACGGTGGTACATAAAATTATGCACAGTACATTAAAAGTTGCCGCTTATGTTATTTACCACACTACACTTTATTATTCTTTGTGTATTATAAATAGGTTACTGTAGATAGTACACTTGTTGTGGCAGCAGCATCTGGTTTTTTAATCAAGAGGCCCAAGAATGACTGACCGACCAGCTTTGGTGTGGTGGCACACATCTGTAATCCTAGCACTCTGGAGGCTGAGGCAGGAGGATGAGAGTCCAAGCCGGAGCGCACCCCGTCCTTCAGGGATGCAGGACTGCACGGCAAACATTACAGCAACTCGTTATCCCCACTTCACAGCCGGTGCAAACTGCCGCACAGTTCAACCGGAGAGCACCGGACCTCAAACTCGTCACTGGTTCAGCCCTGGCTTAGAGGCTTCCTCAAACCAGACACAGCCAGTCCCTAAACCTCGGAGGTGGGGGCGCGAAAGTTACCAAAGCCGATCTGGAACCCAAGTGCTGGATTAAATCTCAGTACAGACGTGAAAGGGCTCGCCAAACTCTTTCCTCCTTACTATGCTCCAACCCTAACTAGTCACAACAGGAAACACGACCTGGAACCCTCTCTCGACAACATTAAAGTGGCGACGACCGAGCGTTATCGTCACACGTGGTGGTGCAACCAGGACCTCCGATTTCTGAGTCTCACCGTAGGAATCTGGTGACCTGGGCCTCCGCCGGGGTCACTCCACATTCTCCCTGACCCCAAACTTAAAAACAAAAATTCAAACGCCCCTGAATTCCCCAAGCCGTGCTGGCTCCCGACAGACAGTAGACGCAGACCCCACGGCGCCACTCTCCTGAACCCCGGGCGTGGGAAAGGAGTGGGCAGAGGCTGACGATCCCGTGATTTCTCGTCATCTTCTAGAGATCGTTTAAAAAGACAAAAAAAAAATAAGGGAAAGGGAATGGAGACCGAGTGTTCCAGACACCTCCACCACCCCACGTGGGGCGGTCATTTTCCCACGCGGCGCCCGGCCTCTCCCCCGGCCCGGCCTCTGGCCACGCCCACCGCTGCAAAGCCGATCGGGCCACGGAGCTCGGGACCCACCGGCCGCCCGAGTTCTCGACTCTGCCGCCCGAGTTCTAACCCGGGACCCGGAGGTCGGCCATGGCGGGGCGGGCGAGATGGCGCGCGCGCTACGCCTCCCGCGGGACGGAGCGCACCGAGGCCCGCGCCCCCCGCTCCGCGCGCTGGCGGCCCCGCGCGCTCACTCACCATGGCTGCGGTGCGCCGGCCTCGCCGCGACTCGAGAACAGCCCACCTCCAGACAGGCCGAAACGCGGCGCAGAAAGAGGAGCGGAAGTCACTTCCTGCGCGGGAGAGGAAGCGGAAGTGATGTCACTCCGGGCGCGCGGTGACGTCGCCCCGGCGCCGTTCCCACAGTGCTCAAGGGCTGAAGTCGTCTGTGGTTGGAAGGAACGGGTTTTACTGGATTTTGTTAGCGTCCTAGTGTAAATGATTGGCCCACACTGTGAATTAGACATTCGGGAAGCCGGGCGGTGGTGGCGCACGCCTTTAATCCCAGCACTCAGGAGGCAGAGCCAGGCGGATCTCTGTGAGTTCGAGGCCAGCCTGGGCTACAGAGTGAGATCCAGGACAGCCAGGGCTACACAGAGAGAAACCCTGTCTCAATAAACCAAAAAATAAAAATAAGTAAACATTCGGGAGTGGCACACCAATACAAAGGGTTTCAAGGGTGGCCATTTCATTGCCCCCCACTTTCTTTTTTTTAGTTTTTCAAGACAGGGTTTCTCTGTAGCTCTGTAGTCCAGGCTGGCCTGGAACTCACAGAGATCCGCCTGCCTCTGCCTCCTCCAAGTGCTGGGATTAAAGGTGTGTGCCTCTACCGCCCAGCTATTGCCTGGTTTTTGTTTTTTGGTTTTCTTTTTTTGTTTTTGTTTTTCTTTTTCAAGCACGTCGTGTACCCTTTGAAAGTTGACTTCTCAGGCCTGAGGTGATGGCCAGCCTGTCACCCCAGCACTTGAAAAATGAGGCAGGAGAATCAGTTCGTTGCCAGCTTCGGTTACAAAGCAAGTTCGAGGCCAGCTTTGGGCTACCTGAGACCTTGTCTTCCTCCTCAAGAAAACAAAATAAAAACTCACCTGTCTAATCCCTCAGTGTTAGTCAAATTCCAAGTAAATATTTTCTTCCTCTTGAGATCTGCCTCATCAATATTTCTGGTGGGGCGTGGAGTTAGAGTTCACTTAGGTGATTTCTACAGTGAGTTTGGGGTGGGGAGATAATTACGGAATGACAGTGAAGTTGTGTTTGGAGTCTTAATAACACACCTGCTTTCTTCTGCCCAGCGCCTTGCCCCACCCCCACCCCTTTTTTTTTTTGTTTGTTTTGTTTTGTTTTTCGAGACAGGGTTTCTCAGTGTAACAGCCTTGGCTGTCCTGGAACTTGCTCTGTAGACCAGTCTGGCCTCGAACTCACAGAGATCTATCTGCTGGCCTCTCCCCCGAAGTGCTGGGATTAAAGGCATGAGCCACCACCGCACGCTTGCGCCTTAATGCTGCACTAAAACTCTGGTTGCTCTTCCATAAAATATTGGTTCAATTCCCAGCACCCACACAGCAACTAACAACTATGACTCCAGTTCCAGGGGCATCCAACTCCCTCTTCTAGCTTCCATGAGCACTGTGATGTACAGACTTATATTCGGGCAAACACCCATACACAGGAAATGAAACTTTTGTTTTTAAAAGAGTGAATATAGAAGCCAGGTAGTAGTGGCACATTCTTTTAATTTCAGCACTCTGGAGGCAGAGGCAGGTGGATCTCTTGAGTTCCATGCCAGCCTGGTCTACAGAGTTCCAGAACAGCCAGGGCTACACAGAGAAACCCTGTCTCGAAAAACTAAGTAAATAAATAAATAAATAAAATGATAATAACAATAATAATAAAAGTGAATATAGCTCGGCGGTGGTGGCACATGCCTTTAATCCCAGCACTCAGGAGGCAGAGGCAGGCAGATCTCTGAGTTTGAGGCCAGCCTGGTGTACAGAGTGAGTTCCAGGACAGCCAGAGCTGTTACACAGAGAAACCATGCCTCAAAAAAACAAAACAAAACAAAACAAAACAAAAACAGTAAATATCAAATCAGACCCTTCATTCCCCACACTAAACTTTATCTTGTGCACATCTGATAAGACTTGTTAAAAAGGAAACAAAACAAAACCGTCTCTGAACATTTCCAAAAAATGCTTGCTGATTGTCTCAGTGACTGCTCCTCATCTCTGTTGGGTACTGTTTTATATCTCTGACTTATTTGGTTCAATCAGCCTCCACTGTTGGGGGAATGAAACCTATGTATTCTAATCCACAGCCTTAGGTATGTCCTTAGTGTTTGCTTCTTAGATGTGCTTTATGAAAATTTACAGTTATTATTTGACCTACTTGGTATCCTAGTTCACCACTCCAGATCTCCCTAGTAGTGACTGAGGGTTTTATTACTTTAATTTTCTCATTAGAATATGCTAATTATACATAATGAGTTCGTTAGTCGGTTGCTTTGCTGTGTTTTGACATAGGGCCACACCCTAGCTGTAGCTGGTTTGAACTTGTAGCAGACCTCTTTCCTCCTCTCCCTCTCCAGTGCTATGGTTATAGGCCTGTCTCAAGATAATGTTTGACTCTACAGTGGGTAGGGGATCAATCATCTCTGCCTGGCTGGGAAACTCAATATGTAGATCAACCAGTCTCTGAACTCACAGAGATCCTCCTGCCTCTGCCTCCCGAGTGCTGGGAGTAAAGGCATGTATAGCCCAACTTTCTTTGGACCACCAGCTCCTAAATAATGACACGGAGATTTCTTATAGTTTGATAGCTTGGCCTTAGTTTAGGCTTGTTCCCAACTAGTTGTTAAAATTTAAATTAACGAGCCAGGTGGTTAATCCCAGCACTACTCCTTCAAGGTCACCTCTGTTTCAGAGAAGTAAAAAACCCACCAAGCAGAGCAGAAAAGCTTATTGTATTGTTTTGTTTTTCGAGACAGGGTTTCTCTGTGTAATTTTGGTGCCTGTCCTGGATCTTGCTCTGTAGACCAGGCTGGCCTTGAACTCGCAGAGATCCTCCTGGCTCTGCCTCCCAAGTGCTGGGATTAAAGGCGTGGGCCACCACTGCCCAGCGCTTATTGTATTCTTTAGCTCTAGAAATGGAATTTATTTTATTTAGTAAAGTAAATGCCTGGTGGCTTGTGCCTGTAATCCCAGCACTTAGAAAACTGAAACAGGAGGATTGCTGTGAGTTTGAGGTCAGCCTGGGTTACAGTGATTTCTAAGCCAGAAATCTCAGAAAGCAAAAGTAGGAGAGGAGAGGGGAGGGGAGGGGAGGGGAGAGGAGGGGAGGGGAGGGGAGAGGAGGAGAGGAGAGGGGAGGGGAGGACAGTGACTGATTTGGAGATACAGTTCTTTAAGAACCTCGTGTGATGTGGTGGAGGCTGGCTTAGGTAGTTTTGCTTCTGGGGTCCTGTTACTTATACAGGCTAGGTGTGGTGGTGCACGTCTTTAGTTCCAACACCCCAGAGGCAGGCAGATTGCTATGAGTTCAAGGTCAGCCTGGTTTGTGTAGTGAGTTCTAGACCAGGTAGGGCTACATAGTGATATCCTATCTCAAAGAAAAAAAATTTTTTTGTTTAATTAGCTATGTGGTAATGAATGCCTGTATTCCCAACACTCAGTCTGAGGCAGGAGGATCAATGTGAATTTGAAGACAGCCTGGGTTATATAGAAAGGTCTTATCTCAAAACCAAGAAGCAGAAACAAAAAAAAAAATCCAATGAGTTGTTGCCAATCACAGTTATCCTGTCATGCTGTAGAACATTAGAAGCTATTCCTTCTGTCCAAATGCGCCCAACTACCCATCAACGAGGTAAGCTTTTAGGCTACCACTAGCCCCCTCAAATTCAAAGTCCTCTGCCTAGTCTTCGCTTCCATGAGGGGCCAAGGGATCACCCTAACCTACTTATCAGTCACTACTTGGGCACAGATTTATGGCCCGGAGTTGAGGATGAGTCTTCCCTCTCTGTTCCTGGTGAGGGCTCTGGAACCAAGGTCTGGGAAAGCTGAGCAGGTCTATCTGTGCCCAACCTGCTGTTTAGCCGTTTGGCCACAAGGGGGCATAACCCACCAGCTTGGAGCTCCTGTCTGAGCCTAGTCTGGACTGGCCAGGAGAGGTTTCCTCCACCAAGGGTCTGCTGGCCAGAACTACTAGCTAGCGCTGAAAGTGAGTGCAGCAGGCAGGCTCCTTTGTGAGGTGGCCCCAGTGACAGAGGGACTGTGAAGTAAGGGGTACCCCACCCCAAACTGAGTGAGCCAGCCACGCTAGTGTTTCCTTCCCACTCCTCCCAACACCATCTACCGGACCTAAGCTTTGCCATGTTGCTACCACTTCTGGGAGCCTGTGCCGTGGTGGGCCCATTCCAGGGCCCTGAGTGGGAGCCAGTAAGAGGCCTGCTGTCCCAGGATCAAAGCTGCAGGGATCCCCGGTGCTGTGGTAATCTGCTTGTCTTCTGCCTCTTTCTGATCTGGCAGATCCAACAGTATTGGTACCGGGTCTCCAGGACCAGCAAGAGGAATGCCATCAAGGTAAAAGGGGCCACTTCCTCAGCATCATGACTGTTAGTCACTCTCTACATGGACCCTGTTCGGTGTCTTGTGTATCAGAGGTGAACTAAAGAGCTTCGGCTGGTCTGTATAATCACCGTCTAGGCCTTAAAGCCAGGACTCATCTCTGTTCTTCACTCTATACACTCAATCCATTTGCAAATTTTAGGAACCCTCTGTGAAATCCGTAACTCATAGCTATGACTTCTAGAGACCTCACTCTGCCACCCAGGCAGAGCCACCAGCCTGTAGCTCTGGCCCATGGTAATGGCTGTCTGTGTCTGCCTGTGTACCCTTCCTTCCTCCTTTAAAAAAAGCTATAATATGTACACACAATTACAAGTGTATAAATCAGCGAACTTTTACAAGCCAAACACACTCAGGTGTAGTACCCACATTAAGAAACACCAGCAGGGGCAATCAAGATGGCTCTTTGGGTCAGAATGATTGTTGCCAAGCCTGATGACCTGACTTTGGTCCCCAGAACCCACGTGGTGGTAGGAGAAAAACAATTCCCACCAATTGTCCTCTGACCTCCTCACCTATGCTATGGCATATACACATAGGCTTGTGTGTGTGGTGGTTGATACAAGCCTGTAATCCCAACATTCAGGAGGCAGAGGCAGGGGCTGTCCCACGTTTGAAGCCATCCTGGTCTACATAACTAGTTCCCATCCAGCCGAGGCTACAGAACTCTGTTTTGCAAGATATAAAATGAAAGAGAAAAGAAACAGACCATCAA